TCATTACCTATTATTATTTATTATTTACTTATACAAGCCTTGTATACATATTATTTAAGTCTAAGACATATAATAGCATAATATAGCAAATCCTAGAAAAAAGAGAGAATCTGAACTCAGTTGTCACATTATAAAATTCAAATATTCCGTTTTCAACAAACATACTGAAAAAAAAAACTCAAATAAGTATGGGTCATTTCAAATGGGGGGAATAAAAAACTTGATGGCAAAGACAAAGACATTAAAGAACAACTGCCTTAATAAAATATATGCAAAGAACTAAAGGAAGATATAGAAAAGCCAAGAAAATACAAATGAACGAAGTGGAAAAATTAATAAGATGACCAGAAAACCTAACAGAAACATCCAAAGAAATTCTAGAACAGAATACTACCATAATTTTTTTTTAATGACTAAAGGGTTTCAAAGAAAGATCCAACTAGGCAAAAGAGAGATTTAACAACTTTGAAAATAAGACAAGGGAAAAAGAAAAGGACTGAGTAAAAATAAACATCAGAATCTCTGGAGATCAGAAGGTAGTTGGCAAATATGTTCAAAATGTTAAAGGAAAAAAACGTCAGCAAGGAGCTGATGGCTCACACCTGTAATCCTAGCTACACAGAAGGCTGAGATCTGAGCATCACAGTTCAAAGCCAGCCTGAACAGGCAAGTCCATGAAACTCTTACCTCCAACTAACCACCTGGAAAATGGAGCTGAGGCTCACATTGTAGAGTGACAGCCTTCAGTTAAAAAAACTAAGGGACGGCTGGGAAGGTGGCTCAGTGGTAGAGCGCTTGCCTTGCATGCATGAGGCCCTGGGTTTGATTCCTCAGCACCACATAAGCAGAAAAAAAAAGCTGGAAGTGGCACTGTGACTCAAGTGGTAGAGCGCGAGCCTTGAGCTGAAGAGCTGAAGGACAGCGCCCAGGCCCAGAGTTCAGGCCCCACAACCGGACCACCCCCCCCCCCCACACACACACACAAAAAAAACTAAAGGACAGTGCTCAGACTCAGTTCAATCACGAGTGCCCACACCAAAAAAAAAAAAAAAGAAAGAAAAAGTCAGTAAAGGCCCTTAAGATTCCTACATCTCAGATAAAAGCAGAAGTATTTATTACCACTAGGCCCATCTTTAAAAATTGTGCAATAAGTTCTTTAAAGTTAAAGAGCATTACATAGTAACTATAGGCCATATGATCAAATAACGATCTCAATAAAAGTAACTATATGGACAATTACAAAAGCAAGTCTTGTAACAATGGTTTTTAATATTACCTTTGTTTTGTACATACATGATTTAAGAGACTAATACATTTTTATGAGGGCTAGAGATGGAGCATGGTAACACAGCACTTGGCTGCCATGTCCCAGTCCTAGAAAGAACTTATTAAACAGTCAAAATAACTTTGGTTTGCAACTACATATTTGTTTTAGAGAATGTATATGTAAAATTATTCCTTTATGGATTGAAGACTTGTATAATGATGTAATTTTGTGACATCAAACACTGAGAGGGTGGGAGCATAGCTGTAAAACAGCTGTAGTTTTGGCTATTACTGATGTAAAGCTGATAGAAATCCCAACTAGAGCATTATAATTTCAGGATATTAAGTCTGATATCCATAGAAACCACAAAGAAAACAGCTATAGACTATACCACAGGATATTAAGCATTTATATCACAAAAATCATAACATATACATTTGTTCCTAACATATACATTCTTCTCAAGCGTCTATAATATAAGTTAGTCCATAAACTACAGATCAATAAATTTAAAAAGTAAGGTATAATACAAAGTATCACTTCCCATCAGAACAGGATCAAGTTTGAAATAAATATTAAGAAAATTTGAAAATTCATAAATATGTGAAAATTAAGTGACATTTTTCATAATAATTGTATGAAAGACAATCACAAGAGAAATTAGAAAATACTTAGCAACAAATGAAAATAAAAACAATATGTACCAAAACAAGACTGAAGATTTCTTTTTAAGTTTCAAATAATTTGGAAAAAAAACAAATCACAAGAATTATGTCATACAGGGGCTGGGAAGGTGGCTCAGTGGTAGAGCGCTTGCCTTGCATGCCTGAGGCCCTGGGTTCGATTCCTCAGCACCACATAAGCAAAAAGAAAAAAGCCGGAAGTGGCGCTGTGGCTCAAGCGGTAGAGCACTAGCCTTGAGCTGAAGAGCTGAGGGACAGTGCCCAGGCCCAGAGTTCAGGCCCCACGACCGGACCCAAAAAAAAAAAAAAAAGAATTATGTCATACAACTCTTAAATTTTTCAGGATAATTAAATATCAGTGTCTGTAAACAATGAAACAACAGCCAAACTATTTGCACATATACTGTCCTTGGATGTTTTAGCTCTACAAATGCAGTGTTTAGGAGCTGCAACAGTGAGTAGCTTGTAAAATCTAAAATACTTACATTTTTATAGTCTAAAACTTTTTCAGCTTATAGTTTTCTTTAAGATAAATTCTCAACTCCTTTTTGTGCACCTGTGGCCTCTCTCCTGTCTCAACTCTGTCTTCCACATCAACCTCCTTGCTATGGTGTCTTACGTAACCCACTAAAGCTAATGCCAAAAGCAATTTTTGGGTGCTCTTTTGGATATTATATTTAGTCTTGCAGGAAGAGATATAGTAAGGGTAGAAAATCATCTGTAAGTAGGGATAATCTGTTCATTTTATAAATTTTTTTTTCCCAAAAGATGTAAGGTTTTGTTGTATATAGGTTACAAAACTCTGGGTATATTTTCTTCTATAAGAAGAAAATATGGCAAATTCTTTAGGACAATTTCAACATGGAGCCTCAAATGTATCTAGCAGGATCTTGAACTTCCACAAAATGCTAAGGTCCCAATGCTCTCTTCATTCTGATCTTCCTTAAAACAGGCCTTGCTGCAGTCAAGTCTTACATGAAGAATGAGGACACAGAACTCTGAATTATGACTGTTTACATCTTCTTGAATTAAGTAATTCTTTTCTTATTTTAGCTGATCAGTAGAAAGTTTATTTAGATTAAGAAGATTGGAACTAACACAGGGACTTTATGTTGATACTAGGAAAAACAGGCTAAGTCCTTAAACAGATATGAAAAAAAGTTTAGAAGATGGCTTTGATGATTATGCTAATTAATAAAGCAGTATATTTATAGAGCAATATAATACCCTGAGGGGAAAAAACTGGTAGACACAAAACATTTAAATACTAATCTTGTTAGTCCTTATCTTGGCTAGGGAAAAGATTGGAGTACATGTATAAAAAAATAAAGAAGCCAGGCTCCGGTGGCTCATGCCTGTAATCCTAGCTACTCAGGAGGCTGAGAATCATGGTTCAAAGCCAGCCTGGGCAGGTAAGTCCGTGAGACTCTTATCTCCAATAAACCACTAAAAAAATGGAAGTGGTGCTGTAGCTCAAGTGGTAGAGCACTCACCTTGAGCTGAAGAGCCGAGGGACAGCACTCAGGCCCAGAGTTGAAGCCCCACAACCAACAAAAGGAAAGAAAGAAAGAAAAAGAAAGAAAGAAAGAAAGAAAGGAAGAAAGGAAGAAAGAAAGGAAGAAAGGAAGAAAGAAAGAAAGAAAGAAAGAAAGAAAGAAAGAAAGAAAGAAAGAAAGAAAGAAAGAAAGAAAGAAAGAAGGGCTGGGAAGGTGGCTCAGTGGTAGAGTGCTTGCCTTGCATGAATGAGGCCCTGGGTTCGATTCCTTAGCACCACATAAGCAGAAAAAGCTGGAAGTGGCGCTGTGGTTCAAGTGGTAGAGTGCTAGCCTTGAGCTGAGGGACAGTGCCTAGGCCCAGAGTTCAAGCCCCAGGACTGGCAAAAAAAAAAAAAAGAAAGAAATATAAAGAAAATGTACCTTTATTGAGTAAGCAGCATAATTTAGATGGCAGAGATAAGGAAGAAAAGTTAATGGGTAAGAAAATTTAAGAAGTGTTGTAATTAAATTTCTGATACTGTGATAGTCTGCATGTATAGTTTTTGGTGAAAATAATAAAACCTTCCCTCATACTTATATGCGTTCTTAAACATCAAATAAATAAATGAAAAATGAATAACAAGATGTTAATAGTTTTGAAAGCAACTGAAACTTTTCTCATGTTCAATGAAAGTTGAGAATATATAAATGAAATATATAATTTAGAATTTAAATATTACACCTATTCTAAAGACAAGTGATCTATTGTGATGAACCCACAGTAACTTCAGAAATACCAAGCCTTGAACTACAAAAATTTCTGCAAAATGATTCAGGTTAAAAAGTCGTCAAGTTTTTATTGTTTTCAAGAACCTTTTGCTCTATTGTTTATAACAATGAACTAGCTATGGAGAAAAATATGCTGGGAAATCAGAAAAGGACTCTGACTTTGTTTATCCGATGTCATTGTGACACAAGATATAAGAACCTGGTACAAAGCACAAAGACTTGTCAGGAGCTAAACACTTTTACTCCTCTGTAGGTAAGAAATGAAAGGATTGGAACAGATGTGAATGCGTAACGTCTAGTTCCACTTTGCACTGTTTATACTTTATCAATACATGTAAGAACATTCATAATTTGTTACTTCTCACTAAATTCTTAAGAGAATTGAGCACATTCAAGATCTGTGGGTCATTTTCCCCACACGTTCTGCTTTCTATACTTGTATGTCCTTAGAGAATAGATTAGAAAGACATTTAAGCTTATTAGATAGAAAGGTGTCATCCTTTCACCTCAAGGTACATGAGAAGAAAAGTTCAGGAATTATAAATTCTTCAAAAACATAAAAGGTTCTGTGGACCCTGGCAAGGAAAATGTCAACAAGTCAAAAGATGCTAGATGGCTATTGACCAGTTTCACGAAGGCAAAGCTGCAAGCCAGGATGGGATAATGCTTTCCCCCCATGTGTCTAAAGCTGCAAATGACACTAATCCTTTTTAATGGTCACAAAAGCTGACAACTTACTCAGCCTTAGAACTGAAGGCACAAAAATCATGTCTGGGAACAACTCACCATGAACAGGTCACGAGCACCGATGTCAACAGCCAGGAGAAATGCCTTTTCAAATCTCTGGTACCTAAGAAGGGGTAGAAAAGAAATGTGGATTCGTTATGAACAAAACTATATAAAACGAAAGAGCTGTTTGTTTAATGTATTTATTTGATACCGTTTTCATTCTTCTGAAGGAAAAATATTTTCCAACAGAAAGGATTTAGCTGGCTAGGATCTTCCATATGTGAAATGTTCTTGACCTTAGGTCTAATTTCAAAGAATCAGTATAACTTTGAGTAGATATTGCTGAATCCATATGGGAAAATGATAGCTCAGGAAATGTGCTTCCATAATTTTCCCTTCATAGTGCTTTATAAGAAAAGATTATATATACAATCATATATCAATTATATGTATGATCAACTAACAAATTATCTGATTAAACTTTTATAGTTAGGGATAAGGTAAAAAGTCAAATGTTCCACAATTTTAAAAGTCACATGTTTGTGAGTTTTGAAAAAAATATTCCAGGCTATCTTAAAATGATAACATAAATAATTTACCAAATAAATATATATATATTACTTTTTGGTTATCATAAAAGAAAAATATTTCTAAAATCTTAAAAACATTACTACGTTTCTATCCTTTCTAAAACATACTGCCTTTTCCTGAAGTAAAATTTTGACAGTTTTCTTTGTGAAAGTTTATTTTCAGCTGAGATATATATGATCAGGCTTCAGTTTAAATCAAATACCTCTAACAAAGTTTAAGATCTTAAGAGAAATACATATCATAAACATTGCTTGCACAGGTTTTTGGCATGAAAGATTGTGTTTTTCCCAAACACTAAAATTTATATAAATGCAAGCTATCAGATTTTCCGACATTAGGAACAAATATGTAAGTAAGTTATTCTCTATTCTCTATTTTATACTGTACAAGATGGGGATTGAAAATAAGTAATGAATACTATTACTATCATCTAATTACATATATTTTATTAATGCAATAACTAAAATAATAAAAATTCAAATACACATACAAAGCTTAATATTAATAGAGGAGATATTAGGTCCTGAGCCAGAAACATTTGTATGATTTCCATGCTCTGATGACTTTTCATGACTGTTACCCAATCTCCTCCTTTTTACAATCTTACTAGTACCTGAATTCCTCTTAGCTGTAGAAGATCATGCGAAAATGATGTTTATTTCTTTGGATGAAAAATGTGTTACTAGGAAACTTACTGGTTCATTATACTGTCAATGGGAGAGAATTATACTGAGGAAGGTCAGAGAATTAGCACAGCATACAGTTGTGTACTTATGCCATTCCACATCGGCTTACTCCACTATACTCAGTACCTACTCCACTGTAACTATTCTGGCAATAGCGATTATCCATCTTCAAATCATCCAAAACCTTTGGCAACATCTAATACTATAAATTGTCCTCCCTTGAAACCCATTCCTTAACTTCCTTCATTCTTGGTTTTCTCATTTAGCTTAGATCTTCATACAATTCTTTTCTAACTCATCTTTCTCTATCATCTCTTGAAGTTGGCGTTCTATGGTCTTCTTTTATTTCTACTTACTCCATTCTCCTCAGTAAATCTTACCATGACATTAATATTATCAATGACTCACAAATCTACATCTCTAAAACCTGAAGCTCTGAGCTCAAAGTCCAGGTACCACAAAGTTAACATGTCTAACATCACTGGCAACAATATATAGGAAAAATTGAAATTGGAGAAGTGAAATTAAGGGGAATAAGTTAGGATATACTGGTGTTGCGAGGTGAGAAATATTGATGGAAATAATGATAAAATGAGGAAACTGGCAGTGGCATTTGGCAGTATAGTGAACCTGAAATACCAAAAGGAGCACCCAGCCAGACTATTTAGAAAATATACTTTGAATATATAATGAGAATCTAAAAATCTAAAAGAGCAAGGAAATACTCAAGGGTACTTCATCCTCTACTGAAAGATTACCAACTCAGCAAAATTGCTTGGTAGAAACCAGAGTAAAGAACCCTAAGTAGCAAGTAAAAAGGAGTAGGAGAGACAGAGCTACACTGAAAGGCAACCACCCTTAGGAGACTGACCTGTAAACTAGTCTCAAGGTAAAGATGTGGCACCCAAAACTTCTGATTGAGCTGGGATGTAAAAAGAACCAAACTAGCAGTGCTCCTAACTTTTGCAGACACAAAAATTATTATGTGGACTAAAACCCTCTGATAGAGGTTCTGAAACATCACAAATTAGAATCTACAATATGAATCTATTAAGATGATCAAAAATATAATAAAGCAACTCTGTTTGAAACATTAGAAAAATATGTAGATCAGCAGATTTCAGATATCTGAATTCTTAGAATATAAATTGATTTACAATACAATATTCATAGAAATAAGTGATGTAATCATGAATATAAGCATGCAATATGACACAATAAAAGAATTACTAGGTCAAATTTTTTTTCCTCCAGTGGTGGGGACCAATTCCAGTATCTCCCACATGCTCCACCGTTAAGCTATATGTCCAGATCAGCAAATCCATTCATTAAGGGATAAAATAGAACTTTTAGAAATGAAACATTAATGAACTGACACAATTGAAGAGAGATTTAGTGAACTAAAAGCACATGGCCAATACATAAAGAATTATGCAGACTATTGTGAGGAAAGACTATTGTTAGTATAAGTAACACAGAAAAATGAAAAATACATATGAAATATATCTAATATATCTAACTAGGAAATTAACTTAAGTGGATAAGAATTTCCAGAACACCTAAATGATATGAATCAACAAATAAAAAAGGGACTAAGCAAGAGAAAGGAAAAGGAATTTATGCATATAGAATCCTTGAGTATAGAACTGCAATGAAAATGCAGAACTTTATAAATTTAAAAAAAATCTTAAAGGCTGCTGGGGATAATTCTGATGACCTATAAAGAAACTACAAACAGACTGATACCACACTTCTTGATGGTGATAGAGGGCTAGAAATAATAGCAATAGAAGATGATAGAAGTATTTAAATTCTGAAAGGAAAACACCTCAATGAGTCTCCATTGCATACCTAACAGTGGAACTCTGTGAATTCATACTTTAATCTATGTATATACTACATAGAATGGAGCTGGCTTTATTATTCATTCATTTATTTATATATATTTTTTGTGCCGTTCTGAGAGTTAACTTGGACCTGCACACTGTTCCTTAACTATTTCGCTCAAGCCTGTTTCTCTACCACATGAGCCACATCTCTGATTCCAGCTTTCTCGGTGGCTTATTGGAATAAGAATCTCAATGACTTTTCCTGCCTGGGCTCGTTCTGAACTGCGGATCCTCATATCTCAGCCTCCTGAATAGCACTGATTGCAAGCATGAGCCACTAGTGCCTGGCTCAATCCTGTCTTAAAAAAATAGAAAGTTTGACAAAAAGATAAGAAAGAAAACCACAACCCTTACAAAATTTTAAATCATTAGTAAAAAAGAAACAGTACAAAATTTAAAATACTTATAAATAAATGCTAATATTGTACAGAAAAACAAGCACTGAGGCATTTAAATGGAAGAAATGTACATAATTAGTAGCTTATATTTGAGAAGTAAATATCTAACTTAATTTAGAAAAAAATAGAATAATCCAGGAAGATAGAGGAACAAGATATTTGACATAGTGAAAAGACACAATGAAAATGCATGAACTAGTGTAGGTCTCTAGGGGAGCATCTGCTTCCTCATATAGAAGGATCTAGTTTTGATCCCCAGCATCATAGCAAGAAGAGAAAGGAAAGGGGAAACAAGGGATGACAACGAGAGAAAGGCAAAGGAAACTCATACTGAATTCTATACAAAGCAAAATATATATTCTAAGACAGTCCTGCTATGTTGCTCAGGATAGACTCAGACTCTTGGACTCACGTGATCCTCCGAAACCAGTCTCCTGATAGGTGGTACTATAGGCATGCATCACTGCTTTGGCTAAAGAGAATTCGTTAGGCTAATATAAATGCCAGATGGAAACTCAGATCTTCAAAAAGTACAAAACTCAAAGATATAGTAAGCTTCTGGGTAAATAATGACTCATAACCTTTATTTCTTTAACATATTTATCTATTTAAAGCAAAAGTTATGTTGTTTTGGGAAAAGTTACACCATATGTAGGCAACGTATATAACAGTCACAGTATCAAAAAAAAAAAAAAAAAGAGGAAGGTGGGTAAAATACTCTATTAATTCTCAGTAGACAGTGGAAAACTAAGTATAATATATCCTTAACCCCTAACACCAACACTATAAAAATTGGCAAATAAAATTTAAAAAACAAATTAATAAAAATTCTAAAAAATATTCAAATGACTCAAAAGCAGGAAAGGAAGAATGAAGAAATAAAACATTATAAAAAGCAAACAAAATGAAATTGCAGGCTGAGTTTCAATAATTATACTAAATGTTAACAGACACTAATTTAAAAAACAGATATTCTGAAAGGTTAATAACTCAAGACTCTGACACTTAAGAGAAATCTACTATACATATTTAAAAACAGATCATTTGAAAGGAGATAGGTGGAAAATACAAGGAAGCCAGAATTGCTATTATTATCATCTGGCTATGAATATCAATCAGATAAAAAAGACTTCCAAAACATAGTATGAAGATAAGGTGGGACAATTTTATGTTAAAAATGTCAATTCACTAGGAAAACATAAAAAGCTGAATGAAAATCATGATTTTTTAATCATAAATACACAAGACAAAAAGTAACAGAATTAAGGGAGAAAGACAGATTTTTGTACTTACTCCTCTATGAGCAAATTATGGAAATTTTAAAAATTAGTAAAAGTATAGATGATTTACATCTTCATGCAAATGATATTTGTGTGACTGACGTGCTACCAACCATTATGCTAACAAAATACCTTACATTTGGTATTTATAGGACGTGTGTGTGTGTGTGTGTGTGTGTGTGTGTGTGTGTGTGTGTGTGTGTGTGTGTGTGTGTACTCCTATTAAGAGCTCCTTATTTATTCTGCTGCTTTGTTCATTTGTATCTTGTTTTCCTAG